TTGCTATTTTGCTAAAATTATCTGCTTAAGGGATATGCTAAGGGTTAAAGGTTAAAGAAAAAGACCTAAGGGTTAGTCCTAAGTTTACTCGCCAAGACTCGCATCTTGTGCCTACGTATCCGAGGTAGGGGATGTAATCAGAGTAATCGTAGTTTCCCTTGAAAGGGAGGAATTGAAACTTCTTGATTGTGGTCGAGGTTTCATGGGGATGCAAACGTTCTTAAAGAAGCACTTGCGTGGAGTGCAATGACTCCTATCTCTACATTGTGATTAAATTGAATTTAAAAGGTGTAAAATAGGTATTCCACGGCGGGAAGCCTAGTATGGAGCGCGGCGACTCCTTATCCTAATGCTAGGGTAAAGGGTAAAACTGTCCATGGAGGGACGCCTAAAAATATGAGTACGGCGACTCAACGTTTTAAGGTTTGAAAGGTGAAAGATGGACGAGGGTTAAGGACTATTGACACGACGGTCAAACGGCTAGACCTATCCTTCGGAAGGAAATTAACGGTAAATAACTATAATGAAAAAATTAACAAATAACGGTATTGAAATATCAGAGAATATGTGCAAGAATAATAATAACGGAATAAAAAGCGACGATGTCCTCGCATAAATTACAACCATAAAAATAATTACAGAAAAATAAAGATTAGTAGCCAAAGACAAATGAGAAACAATATTATTAAAAGTGAAATGTTAGACGAACATCGACGGAAATGTTAGAACTTTTTATTTTAGAATTTTTAGGTTAGGGTTCAATTAGAAATTAAAAGTGAAATGTTAGAAATTTAGGTTAGAAATATTGTTAAGAAAAAGTTTTATAATTAATTGAAAATTAATTTTAATTTTAATGTTTTTTAGAAAATGTTCGTAATTAAAATTTTTAGTACTAATTTATCTAAAATGAATTTTTATTTTAAAAAAGAAAGTTAGTTTTTATTTTTAAAAAAAATTAGAATTAAATTTTTTTTAGTAAAGTTCTAAAAAGAGTTTTAATTTTAAGAGTTAGATCTTTACGAGTTAATTTTTTTTAGAGTTTTTTATTTTAAGTGTTAGAAATTAATATTTATAAATAAATTAATAACTAAATTAAAATGTTAATTTTAACTCATGAAATTAAATCCTTTAATTAAGAAATTAAAATTAAAATAAGTTTTAAATTAAGTTTTAACTTTAAGTTTTTAACAAATGGCTTTAATTATAAATTTTAAAAAAATAGTTTTGAATTATAAAAACTAAATGTGGTTTTAATGTTACTCACAGAATTTTAATAGCTAACAAAATAAATTATAAAATAAAAAGGAAAATACAAAATAAAAGGGGAGAGGGTCTTGTGGTTGCTGAGAGTTTATTTAGGGTTTATGAACCCTTCTTCTCTTCTTCTTCCCGACGGCAGCTCACATGGCTTGCTCTTCGGAAAAAATTTCTTCTCCTATGACCGCCATTGTTGTTCCGTCCGTTTTCCTCCATTTTCCTCTGAATCTGAAAAAAAAGAAACAAACAACCAATCCGAATCATGAAATAGCTCATCAAAGCTTACATTTTTTTTTGCTTGTGATGATACGATAACAGTGTGTGATGGGTGTTCAAGTTGCGGACGATGATGGTGTTGAGACTTTCCTCCCTCTGAGTCCGGCGTTTGAATGTTGATGATGGTGGTTCTTCGAACTCTTCCACTGATGGACTCGCAGATTCTTTTTCTGTTCGGGTACCACTTTGATGATGCACTTGTGATGAAATTTTCTTTCTCTGTTCTTGCTCATGACCCCCCCCTTCTGCGATGAACTTCATGATGTTCTTATATTGATTTTTCTGGGCCTGGGCATCTTTATATTGTTACGATTTTTGTTGTTGAATTTTTTTCAGGATTTTTCTGTTTGATTTGTTTTGGAACGGCTGAATTTGTGGACTGATTATTATTTTGTGATGACTTCATTTTGGTTGTTGTTGGAGCAGAGATTGTTGCGTTTTGCATGGAGATTCCGTTTTGATCTTGTTTTGGTTTAGAAGAATTTTCAGAAATGTTGTTAGGCTGAATTGGATATAGATTTTTTCTGATGGATTTGGATATCCATTTTTTGGTTCTATGGATTTTGAGGGATTTGGATATCCATATTTCGTTGGATATGCTGGATTTTCTAAGTCTTGTTGCAAAAATCAATTTTTGAAATAAGCACATTTCCAAAATCACTTTCTCTCTCTCTCTCTCTCTCTCTCTCTCTCTCTCTCTCTCTCTCTCTCTCTCTCTCTCTCTCTCTCGGAAACAAACTTGAACAGATATCGCCGGATCTGCCGAGGTCGGAAAGTGAAGTCAGGAGCTGGCGGTGGAATATTCTGTTGCCCTTCCCGACGTACCCGATGATGATAATTTGCTAAGGGTATTGAAATAACTAAAAACCAACTTTTTGATTAATTCTAACCGCTTAACAATTATTTTCATGTGTTGTCGGTTTTGTAGGCTCGAAGGTTCGAAACGAAGATTAGGAACTCTTAGAAAAAATTCTTAGAAAAAATTAAATCCTTTCAATAAATGTAAATATCCGAATATGTTGTAACAGAAGTTGTATAGAAATTGAATACTTAAATCCTTTCAATAAAATGAATTCTTCCTTTTCGTCTAAATTCCTCTAAATAAAATTTCGTACCAACATCCGAATCTGACAACCAACCGGCTCGCGCAAGCTTAGAATTAACGGATCTAACATAACTTCTGAGTTCAAAAACTAAATCCCTGTCGATTAACTTGTAATTGATAATAATAATTGGTGAATATTGCCCTTAAACAGATAGACAGAGAAATCCACTTTTTAATAAAATGAATTTTCTTCCGCATTTAAAATCCAGACTGTATCTTAAATAACCTGTCATTGCAACTGGAATCGATTCAACTGATGCTCGTGATCAACCCAATTGATACTCATTATAAATTCAACGCGAACCGAAATTCCACCGTTCCTTTAAAATTGACTAGTAACTAGCAGAAAACAGGAAAACATGCGTCTGTTAGAATAAATTCCTCGAAGCAGATTCTCGCACCGATTTAATCCGAATTCACTTATATTTCGACGGACTCAGCTTCATATGGTTTATGAATCAAACAACACTTCTGAAATCCAACTGACGACTACATCTCGGCTCTCGAATAAAATGTACTGTGTCACGAGAAACCTGACGTCAATATTGTCATAAAATTCAGCCAATTTTCAAATAAAATCACATGATTCGGAGATAGAAACCCTAATTGTTCGAAGATCCGTTGATAATGACTTTGCTTCGAAACCATCACCCGACTGTAAATTAAAGCGCACACGGTGCTATTTTCCTGTAAAAACCAACAGACTGGACAAACCGGTTAGCGGTTAGTTAAAGTGCAATGCAGAATGAAATCGAATGCGAAATGAAACTAATAATCTAAGGGTAAAATTTGGAGTATGACACATGTTATGGGTTAAGGATGAATAACTCTTTAGATAAATATAATAATTCTATTATAAAATGAATTAATTCTACTGTGGAGATGGGACGGGAATATCTTATCCCGTTTGAAACAAATTTTGAGTTTAGTTATTCATTCTTGTTGAAATCATGGTGGAAAACAAGAGTGTATATATATATATATATATATATATATATATATATATATATATATATATATATATATATATATATATATATATATATATATATATATATATATATATATATATATATATATATATATATATATATATATTAAGGAGACACTTTTGAGACTAATAAAATATAATCCATCTATGTCTAAAGAAAAAATTCTCACTATTACCAATAATTCGAATAAAATTATAATTAAATATTTCTTCTATCTTATAATAAGTGTCTTATTTAAAATCTGGCGCGGTTCTTAAAAAAATGATTAGATGTATTGATTTTAATGATAAAATTATTATCTCTTTTTAAAATACTCTTGTTTACCATAGTTTGTGGAGTAGTTGAAAAATGTAAAAGTTAATAAATATGAATATAATAATAGAAAACAATACAAATGTTGTATTGAAATTCAGAGATATTCATTTTGAGACATAAAAAAAAATACAAATAAGAGTATTTTTTATGAGACGGAGGGCGTAAAAAATTATCCTATAAATAATAAACTCAAAAGTTTGACAAGACATATTCTTTAACTTTATTTTTCTTAAGAATCATACTAACCAGTATATTATGGAGGTATTCTTTAAAAATATTAAATAAATAAAATATTTACAAAAATCAATAATTTTATTTTTCAATACATTGAATATAAGTATTTTTAAAAAAATCTACCACTTTAAACACTTAAAAAGAGTGACCCTAAGATATTTGTTAACATTTCTCTTTTCTTAATTCTATTACTCAATCCACATATGTTAAAAGAAACTTATAAATATTAAACACGGCACTCTAAGACTTGACAATTTCTGACATCCAAATACACTAATTTTGTCTCAACATTTAATTTAAAGACACTTCTTATTTTGCAAACATCAAAACATATATTCAAACCTGTTAATTTGTTTTACAATTTATTCAGACTTTGAAATTTTTACCAAAAAAAATAAAACATGATCTGGCTTAACTTCTTATTTTAATGAGAAGTCATTCAAAAAAATAAGTCATGCCGAATTGAGTCTAGTCTTGTAACTGAGGAGACTTTTCTTTTTTTAACTTAATGATTGTACAATTTTTGCATAAATCATCCCATTGTTGGATTACCAAACACATTGTAAACTCACACACAAGTAAACATCTATATTCTTCTGTTTCAAGCCATTCAAAACTATTGTTATCCAACTTTTGAGTCTCCAGTGTCTTTATCAACCACTTCCACCAAACAAGGTTAATTAGATAAACCAACATAGAAAAAAACTTAAAGGTTTTGGCCATAAAAGGCCTTTCACTACTCTCAGAATTATACACACAAACTAATCAACTCAAAGCAAAATCAACCAAACATTCATAAAACAAAATCTAACCCTTTTGCCATGGCTTCCTATAGTTCCTTCATTTTAGCATTTTTCATTGCTATTTCCATCTCAAGCATGGAGACTAGCCTGGCAACTCGTCATCTTCTACAAACAACAAATCCAACTACACCAACTCTTCCAAAACCAACATTGCCACCTTTGCCAACAATCCCAACTTTACCTCAAGCAAATGTTCCATCTTTGCCAACAATCCCAAAACCAACTCAACCATCAATTACAATCCCAACCATTCCAACTATTCCACAGTTCACTCTTCCACCATTTCCTAACATTCCTACTACAATCCCAATCACAATGCCAACACTCCCCTTCTTTTCTCCACCACCTTCAAAAACCACCCCTTGAATGAAGTTCATATATAAAGTGTTTTTATAGATATATTCACCCTATTATACATGTTTCGTTTTGTTGTGGAATATTAGTTTTTATTGTGTGTAAGATTCGTCGTTTTAAACTTTCTTAAGACTTGTGTGTGTGGGATGCTATTCCCTTTATCATTATGTAGTTTAGTAACTATTGTTAAAGAGTTACACTTTATAATAAATAAATGTTATGTTTAATAGTCTATAGTATATTTCTTCCCTCTAGTTCTATTTATAAGTGAAAATTTAATTTTTTTAATTTATTAAATAATTAATTTATTTAATTCATGATATAGTCCAGATATATTAATTATTCAATAAATTTAAAATATAATTTTTTTCTCATAAATAGTAGTACTACCCAAACAATCTACATAGCCCACAAATCATGTTTTTACTTTTGAGTTGAGGTTGATTATATAAATATTTAAATTGATAGTTGTGATGTTGGAGTTTGTTTGAAATCTCACATTATTTAGGTATTCGAATTGTTGGGTGTATAAATATAGAAGGACAATCTCACCCTTTGAAATAGCTTTTGCGAATGAAATTCAAATATATTTAACATAATATCAAAGTCTGGTTAAGAACTACAACTTGAGTATTTGATTCAGGTCCACACTATGCGTGAGGGTGGCTGTTGAACTCAAGTATGATTTAACTCATTCTTGCAAAACTTCGTCTTAATCTCGTACTAACTTTGAACATTAGAGTGAGATTTAAATGAGGGTGTTGAACTCAAGTATGATTTAACTCATTCTTACAAAACTTCGTCTTAATCTCGTACTAACTTTGAACATTAGAGTGAGATTTAAATGACCAAAAGTGTAATTTAATTATTCATGTAAAACTTTACATTTTTTATTGTTAATATATTACAATAATAATCAATAAAATTTATTATTTTTAACAAGTTATTAAATCAATAATTTTTCTCATAGCAACAACATCCATAGACCAAACATTCTCATGTAGCTTCTGATTAAAATCTCAAAGCACATTTCCCATTTTTACATATATTTTGGAACATTTCTCTTCATTATTCTTAGTCATCGTAATTTTATTTTTTGCTCTTACCTTCTCAAGCGTGAGCTTGAACCTAGCAGTTCGAAATCTTTTGCAACCAGGTACGGCTACTAAACAAGCTATACCATTTCCAAGGCATTCCAACTTTACCTCCACTTCCTACCATTTTCCAATTCTTGGTCACACCATCTTCATCCACCACTCCATAAACACACTTTCACTTGTTCCTCTGTCTCTTATTATGTATTCTACTTTCTTATAATAATACAATGGAATACACCTTTATTTTATATCACATAAAACTAAGTGCCATTATTACAACAAATGATTTGTGTAGCATATTGTCATGATGCAGGAAACATGTTCACCTAATTCTTATGTATTATTAAAGGGAAACATACTGATAAGGAAACTCAAACAAAAACTAACTTGTTTGTGCGCATAGACTATTTCTGTAATTAGAATTAATGGCGCAAAACAGTTAAATGTTTTCATATTACTCTAATTTTCTTAGTAGCAGAAAACTTCTAGTTATACATTTTCGTGAACTTGAGTATTGCAACAGCAATGCAAATGGCCACGGTATGCAGGATGATTATGGGAATCAACTAATCAAGAAATGTCAAATAGTAACTCTAAGAATAAATCTAATTTTTCAGTAAATAAATTGAAAGTCATGCAGTCTAATAATACATGACCACATATTCTCTTAAATGCATTTGACATTTGAGTATGTAACCAAGCATAAACATTCATTCTTGAGGCTGCATTCTTGATTCCATTAGTGCATTAAACAAGTATAATAAGGAGAGATTGGACCATCTATGAGTGATGAGATTCTTCTCTCTAGAATATTATTACAATTACGTAGGAGCTGGAAGATAACTGGAAAGTGGTTCAGATTAAAAGGAATAAAAAAGAAATATCTTAAATTTGTCATATATACTAGACACCAGATTAAAAGGAATGAAAACACATAAATTTACCAACCTATTACTGTCATCAAACATAGAAGAAGCATAAACCAATTTTGATACAAAATAATCAAGCATAGCAAAATCCTATTGGGTTATAGGAAACTCACTTTTCACATCCCATTGTGCATCCATATACACACTTCGATCTGAACAACTGTCATCAGCCGAGTTTCCTCCTTCTCCCACACACAAGCACCAATCCTTGTGGATAACTTGACACAATTATGCTTCATAGAAGACAAATGTAGCACAATTGATGACTCATTGCATGTATTTGCAGAATTGTGTAGTAAAAATATTAGTTCAGGAACATGCATTAACTACTATAAATAGTACTTTGTAATATAAAGACTAACATACAAAATATCAAATATAAACCAATGGCAATGAAATATGATTAAATACTAACCATCAAAAATACTGAGGTTTATTAGCTGTAAGTTATCAGCTATAAACTGATTTCATATATAAACTGACCGAACAGATGGATCAAGAAAATTGTATCTCAAATACATGACAAAAGAATAATAATAATGATAGTATCTAACTGCCTTCATATTTGGGATCGGCGATAACCAAGTGATATGCTATAACCAAAGCAAAAATGAATATGCCAAGAGAATTGGCAATGAATCCCAAAGCTTCATCATCAATCATCTTTTTCTTTTCCTGAACATGCCAATCAAAACTAAATATAATTAGAAAAATATTACATGAATAAATCCTTATTATACGATATGATCTACTTGTTAAAAGAGCAACAAATCTTCCATCATATTTCTCAATTCCATTCACATTGCTTACAAATTACAATAAGAATGTAAATCTAATAAAGTGTTAACAAACGCTAATTGTTGAACTATAGCTAAAAACGAATTCGTGTATATGGTAAACTGATATGGATCATGTAAAAAACGAATTAGGGTTTACAAATTACAATAAGAATGTAAATCTAATAAAGTGTTAACAAACGCTAATTGTTGAACTATAGCTAAAAACGAATTCGTGTATATGGTAAACTGATATGGATCATGTAAAAAACGAATTAGGGTTGAAAGTAAAGAAAAACAGATCGAAAAAGCAATGTAGATTATTGAATTGAAAAACAGAAATGAAGAATGATTGCAGAATGAAAGAGATGTAAAGAAAAAAGAACGTAGAAGAAAGAATGAAGGGATGGGAAGGAGAAAGTAAGAAACAGAGCTTACGTGAGATTGGGATCAAGGAGCGACTCGTTGTTTGTTCATAAAACAGGGGAATTCATCGGAACTATAAAACGCCGTCGTTTTGTTATATGGTGTATTTGAAAAATGATGAATAAAAAAAATATAATAAAAAAAATATGGAAGTGTGGCTGCTGGGATTCGAGCCCAGGTCTCCACGGCCACAACGTGGAATTCTTACCACTAAACTACAGCCACTTCATGTTTCTAATTGTGAAATGTATAATATATATATCTTGTTAATATATTATTATTCGAAAACAATAAATAGAAAAGTGCTAACTTTCATTAAAATTCAAAGTTTGCTTAAAAATGAACTGGTGGCCATCACTGGGTAATTAATTGACGATTATAAATACATTATCATATACTTATCACTTAATTGAATGTTCATAATTATAATTAGAATAGTAAGTAATTGAAAGACTAAGTTCTAGTTTTTTTTTTCCACACATACTAAGTTCTAGTTCTAATTCTAATATATTATTAAAAATTATTCAAGATCTAATATATGACATGCTATCGATTTACTAGTGTAGATTTTCAAAAGTTTAACAGTTAGCATATTGAAAATTTCACATTACATACACAATGTTATCAATAAATAAATAAAAGATATCAATACTTTTATTATTAATTAGCTATATAATTTCAAATATTATGTTATTCCCTTAATTATTGAAACAAAATTTTGACTAGAAGGTGTATAAATACATTATTCATTCATTGTGTAAACTAAGTTTGAAGGTAATAATAATATGAAAAAAATTTCATTTTAGAAATATCAATTTAGTATCAGCTGACACGTTCTCTTCCTCTTTTCAACTTTACTTTTTCATCATTATCAAAATTCTCTTTCTTCTAATCATTCTTGCATATGTCTTCCTCATCGTTGCTCCTTCAAATTATGTTGAGATTCCTCCCTTCATCCTTATTTCATTGGCTCACTATCCATCAATGGTTATGCACTTCCATCCCTCTAGCAATCCTGGGAAAGCTCGTGGCTCTAATTCCTATCGTGGTCGAGGTTGCTATAGTGCAGGTCAGACATCATCTTCAAACTGTGTACGTACCCATTACAGTCACACCAATTACACTATTGATACATGCTTTATTAAGCATGAATATCACTACAAAAGTCCCAAACTTTCCATCAATAATACTACTTCTTCCACTCTTTTTGAAATGCCTTCTGACCCTTCTCACGACTCATAACACTCCATGGTAATAATTTAGGACTAATACAACCAGATTCTTTAACTTCTCCATCATCAGTAATTCTCTTTTACATCTTTTACCACTCTTGAAGCTCATTTACCATACATCAACTCGACTCTACTTCTGTAGATGGCAAGCCACATGTATAATGGATAATTGATACTCATCACATCACTCCAACTTTGAAAAAAATTCTTTCTTATTCTTATGTTTCCCTCATTAATATGAAGTTACCTAATGGTACAACTGTCTTGACTAACATTCTTGGGATTGTTTGCCTGCCGAATACTCTAACATTACGATATATCTATTATATCCTTATCTTCAATGTTAATTTAATCTCGGCGTCTAAGCTTATTGATTCTTCCTTTTTTCATCTCACTTTTACTAAGAAATGTTTTATTTTGCAGTCCTAATAGGCATGGTGATCTGTATGTCCTCACAGCTCAGGTCATTCACTCTAAACCCCCTTCCCCATTTAGTTGTAATTTTGTGTTTACTGTTTCTTCTACTACTTAACATAGGATATTAGGCCATCA